CAGGGAGCATTTCAGACACCCTTTCAGTTCTAAATGGCAAAACCTCTAGAATCAAGACTTCTCCAAGTATCTTGCTTCGAAGAGGCACTAATATGATGAACTTCTTTGTCCCCATCCAAGTGGGTCTAATGTTGCCAAATCCTCACAGAGGCCTAGGGCTTTTTTGAAGTTCTGCCCCAGTAAGAATGAGATCAAGTGACCCCCAGCTCAGAGGCTAGGTGTCTAAGCCTGCCTGCTTTGGGGACCTCTTTGAGGGTGAGCTATGCACTAACTACAAATACTTCCACAGGTCCTGCCCCTTTCTGCCAGTAGAAAACGTCGAGCCCACAGCATGACTACTTCTGGGCACTTTAAATTTGGTGCATTTCTGTGCTAGTCTCTCCCAGTCCCAGCCAGTCTATGTCACCAAGTCCTGTTACTGGCACACAGATGCTCCCCAATGTGTCTCTGCCTAAGTCAGCTAGGAAGGGCCTCCACCCGGTGTTTAAGCCACCAGCCCGACCCAGAGTGTGCTGGGTGCTGCCAGGTGCTGGTGGCCCTCGATGCTGCTGCCCATCACAGTAGAGAGGAACGGAGGATGCAGGCCTTGGGAATGCTGGCGCTTGGAGTCCGGGACAGAAGGACTCTAGTTCTTTGAGGGAAGTAGTGCAGTTGGCAGTTGGCGGTTGGGTGATCGCTGGGGGTCCCGCTCTGGCCCCGCCCTGCATTTCCATGGAGACCCAAGATTCCCTCCAGCAGCCCCCAGCGCATGCCCATGCCGCTGTGTGGTAGCCAGGCACACCGTTCTTGGCTGACTCGCCCGGTCACAAAGCTACCATATTCACTCTCAGATCCCTTCTCCATCCAGGCAGATCCAGGGAGGGGCGTGGGAGCCTAAACAAGATGTTTGGGATTAACTCGAGACCCCAAGAGTTTGGTGCTTTGGGTACTAATAGCCTAGGACCTCCAGAGCTGGTCCCGCTTTAGTGTTTGCTTGCAACCCCGCTCTTCTCCAAGGCCTGGTGAGTGGTTTCCTGGTACAAGCCAGAGGTTTCCCCTAAGGAGTATACCCCAGGGTATCCTGGGTAATCTTGACGCAGCTAATCATTTGTGGTCATTTCTTCAGAGACTATTTCCCTCTCACACGTCAAGTTAAGGTACTTCCTCTTTGGTCTTTGCCCAAAAGCCTGGAAGAACATTGCACACTGCCTCTGGTTACCCTAAGCCCAACAGAGAGGCTGAGGCTGGAGTTCCAGATTTGTACAGGTCCTAGAAGATCTGCAGTCTCCATGCTGAGGCTGATCAACCTGCAAGCCTATCTGCATGTTGACCTAGCAGAGTGTGAGCTGCCAGCCACCTGAGACCACCTAGCAGAGCTGGGTTCTGGAATGACCTTTGACAGGATGAAGACCAGGTTCCCAAGTGTCTTGCAGGCCTGTGCAGTCGGCATCCTCTTCCCTCATCTCCAGAACAGATCTGAGGCCCCTGTGGTGTCAGACACATGATTCTCACACAGGCACATACTGCAAACCTCAAGGTTGCTCTTGTCCAAGCAGCCACACATTTAGTCTGTGATGTTTTTTCATTAAATTTTGTCCCAAGAATTAAAATACAAAACACAAAACACCAAGACAACAAACCCCAAAGTAAAGCAAAAGACAAATGACCTTGTTGTATCTCTCCCAGGGCTCACAGACTCCCAGGCCAGGTAGAAACAAAGCACTCTGTGAACCTTTATAGAGGCCCTTCTACATTCTACATTCTGGTGTGGGAATGTGACAATCATGTAATCTGTGTGCTTCTGTTGTTTTGACAGGGTCACTGTGTTGGCCTGGAACTATGTAGAATAGGCTGGCCTCAAACTCACAGAAAGCTGCCTATCTCTGCCTCCTGAGTACTGGGATTTAAAGCATGGACCACCATGTCTTACCTGTGTGTGCACTTTTCTTTCAGGGCTGGAGAGATGGCTCAGTGGTTAAGAGCACCCACATGGCAACTAACCACTGTCTTCACTAACTCCAGTTCCAGGGGATCTGATGCCCTCTTCTGACCTCTGCAGGTATTGCATGACATGGGTGTACTTACATACATGAAAGCATTCATACACATAAAAATTAAAAAAAACTTCAAGTCTTTTATATCTTTTTGAAAAAAAATTTGTGTATATTCCACTTTTGTGTGGGTGCCCATAGAGGCCAGAAAAGGACATCGGATCCCTAGTGCTGGAGTTACAGGCAGTCATAACCTGCTTGACATGGGTGTTGGGAACCAAACTCTGGAAGAGCAAGTGCTCTTAATCACTGAGCCACCTCTCCAGTTCCAATCTTACTCTTTTGGTCTTTTTGAGACAGAGTCTCCCTGTAGCCACAGCTAGCCTGGAATTTGCTATGTAGAACACGCTGGCCTTGAGCTCAGAGATCCACCTTCCCCTGCCACCCGTGTGCTGGGATTAAAGACATGTACCACCATGCCTGGCCCAATCTTACTCTTTTTTAAAAACACTGGTCTTAGCCTGGTTGTGCTTGTCTGTCATCTCAATACAAAAAGAAAAACTGTAACTAAAACAAAACACTTCTGAGGGCTGGAGAGATGTTTCAGTGGTTAAGAGCACTGGCTGCTTTTCCGGAGAACCTGAATTTGCCTGCCCACATGGCAGCTCACAACCATCTATAACTCCAATGCCTTCTGGCCTCCAAAGGCATTGAATGCCCAGGTGTACTTACATGCAGGAAAATACATACTTTTTTTCTTTAAAACCACTCAGAAGAGCCAGACATGGTGGTACATGTCTTTAATCCCAGCACACGGGTGGGAGGGGAAGGTGGATCTCTGAGCTCGAGGCCAGCCTGTTCTACATAGCAAATTCCAGGCTAGCTGTGGCTATAGGGAAACCCTGTCTAAAAACAAAACAGACTCCATAGACTTCTGTAGCTGCAGATGGGAGAGAAGCTGCTGCTCTTGCAAACTCAGTCTTGAGTACACTTTTAAGTTCAAGCCGCCCATGACCCCTATTTAACCAGTATGCAGTGCTTCTTGGACCCCACCACCACCACCACCACCACACAATACACAAGCTCCAGCCCTGCTTCTGCCTTTTTTTAGGTGGCCCTGCCTTCATAATTGCCCAGCATGGCTGCCTGAAGATTTGGCTGCCAGTGATCAAAGAGGCTCACTCCCAGGTCTTTGGGCCTTTCCCTGTTTGGGGCTGCTTACCACTGCCAAGGTGACCAATAGGATGCACTCTTTTCTAACTTTCCTTTTTTTAAAATTATTTTTATGTGTATGCGTGTATTGCCTGCATGTAGGTAAATGTACTTGTGTTATGCAATGCTGGCAGAGGACAGAATAGACTGTTGGATCCCCTGGAACTGGAGTTATGGACAGTTGTTAGCTGTCATGTGGGTGCTGGGATTCGAACCCGGGTCTTTTGCAAGAACAGTGTTCTTAACCGCTGAGCCATCTCTCCAGCCCCTAACTTTCCTCTTTTAAACCTTCTGCAAGTAGCTCCTGCCTGTCTCTGTATATCAGTGTCCCTCCCAGGTGCTCAGCCCAGGCTCCATCCTTCCTGGGAGCTTTGCCTCCTGCAGGTCTGGGTATAGCTACCCAAACTGACAGGACAGCCCCAACTTTTTCCAGTAACTGTACTTGTATTTGCACAAGGGGGCCCTGGACGAGCAGTCCTCCAGTCCTCCTTTCTTAAAAAAAGAGAAAGGTTGGGAGAATAGTTCCATAGTAGACTTTATGCTGACTACACAAAGCCCAGGGTTTAAAAAAAAAAAATACAGTGGGGAGAGACATGGAGAGGGAAGTGGATCTAAATGCTATCAAACTATGAAAATCTCAAAAATTCAATTAAAAAAAAAAAGCAACAAAAACCTTAACCTTAAAATACTTTTTTTTTTCTTTCCTATACAGCAGCATGTAAATCAGGCATATGCACAAGCCTCTATGCCCCACTGATGTTTGTCTCTCTTGCCCAACCCATCATTCTACAGCTCCAGGGATACCAGGGTGCAGGAATGTGAGGCTCCTCCAGAGATCCTGCTCCATGTGTCCCAGCAAAAGGGCCCTCTCCAGACCAATGGAGCCAACTGCACTAAAGGTAGGGCCTGAGTAACAGAAATGTCTTTTGGAGACAAGGTTTCAGACTTTCCTGCTTGACTTCCCAGTACTGGGACTGTAGGTATGAGCTATTATAGTTTCTTTCAGTAATTTTTTTAAGTTTTTGAGACAGGGTCTCATGTTATAGTCCTGGCTGGCTTTGAACTGGTAGCAATCCTCCAGCCTTAACCTCCTGGGTGCTGAGATAGAGGCATGCATGTCTCAACATGCCCAGCTTTACCAATGTTTTCTATGCTTCTCATGTACAAACTTTATCTCTTGATTGGTTTTAAATATTTTTTTCTGGCATTAGGATATATAGCTTAGCTGGTAGAGTGCTTGCCTAACATGCATGAAACCCCCATCCCTGTGCCCCCTTCAATTCCCACTTCGTAAACCAGGTGTGGTGGCTCACTGGCTCATACCTGAGGATCAGAAGTTCAAGGTCATCCTCAGTTACATTTTGAGGTGGAAGCCAGCTTGGACACAAGATCCTGTCTCAAACAAACAAAAAAACCTTTGATTTCTGATTTTTTTTTTTTTTCTGATGATTTTGTAAATGTAATGTGTTCAGTTGTTTTCAGCATGAGTATCATCTATTGAAGACATGCTGACATTTTCCTTTCCAATCTTTGTCTTTTCTAGAACACTCAGTGCTTTGCTCAATGAGGGTGGCAAAGCAGGTCAGTCTTGTTCCTGATCTGAGGTGAAGCTTTCAGTCTCATATTATGCTGCTAGCTCTGCCTGCCTGATGCTGATTGAGAAAGTTTCTTTTTCATCACACCTATCCTGAAAGGCTGCTGAATTTTGTCCAACACCTTTTCTCTATCTCGGGGTTATGTTTTTCTCTTAACAGAATGTGTTACATTATTAGTTTTCACAGCTCAAACCATGGTTGGTTTCTAGGAAACACAGCCTCTGTGGTAGGTACTTCTCTACCCAGGCCACAGACACAGCTGGAAACCCAACTACTGAATTCATTGCCTTAGCAAAACAGGCTGCCCACAGCTTCAGTTAAGAGACTTGGGGGGTGGGGGTGCAGCATGAGGGGTACTGGGGATGGAACCCAGGGCCTTGTGCATATTGGGTAAGTGCTCTGTCACAGAGCTTCCCTGAAAGGCAGACTAGGGATTTTCTCTGGGCTTCACCTTTTGTCTTCTGGCCTATAAGAAAGAGTCATAATCAACCAATGGACCTAAACTAAACCCTAAGAAGTAAACAAAACTCCAGGACTAGTTTCTTTTGCTGGAACTCCAGCAAAAATACATTTAGGAACTGGGGTAGAGCTCAATGGCACAGCATGTGCTTAGGGAAAAATGTATTCCTAGCAAATGAGAACATTTTGAATCCTATAAGCTGAGGCACTTCTGCAGAAGGGGCAGAGAAGGGTAATGTGAAGAAAACACTGAGCCTCTTTTGAAGAGGCAGTTATAGGCTCCCCAGTAACCCTGGCAGAAGCCATACCCACAAACCAAGTGACAGGAAATACCTGCTGCACTCAACTTTCTTATGGCAATCACACTAATTGTGTGGTTTTTGTTTGATGCTGAATAGAATCCAGGGCTCCACTAGGCAAGTGCTGAGCCTCCAAGCCATACTCCAGCACCCCCACCTCAATTTAAATAAATGCAGTGGGAGCTTAATGATAGGGAAAAAAAACTTAAAAACCAGAAAAGCTCAGGTATGTGGTCAGAAGTATTTTTCCCCAATCTTTCCAACAGTAAAATAACAATTGGACGCATGTAGGGGAAGTTTTTCTATTCGTGTGTTTGAAAGCCCAGACATGTTCCATGTTTGTGCAGTCCCCACAGAAGCAAGAAGAGGGCATTAGATCCCCTGGAACTGCAGTTACAATCTTTTGTAAGCTGCCATGTAGGTGTTGGGAACTGAACCTGGATCCTTTGCAAGAGCAGTTAAGTGCATTTAACAGCTAAGCCATCTCTCTGGCTCCATATTTGCTATTTGATTTTCTTTAAATGATAGGTTTCACAAAACTAGCCCTGAACTCCCCCATCCTCCTGCCTCAGCCTCCCCAGTCTCCCACCATGCCTGGCTTTGGGGAAATTATTTTCATCAGTTCAACTCTGGCTATACTAGAATGACCTGAAAAAAGAGATCTTAATCTTTTCCTTTCTTAACAGACATCTGATCCCACTATGTTGTCCTGACTGGCCCCAAATGCCTAGGCTCAAGTGATCCTCCTGCCTGAGCCTCCTGAGCATCTGATTATAGGTGTTTCACTATGCCCCCAAAAGTATATTTTCTCTCTCTCAGAGATAGGGTCTCCCCAGCTGGCCTTGATCTTGCTGTGTAGACCAAGCTGCCCTTGATTTCACGGAGATCTGCTGGGATTAAAGAGTGTGTCACCATGCATGGCTAAAAAGAGATGATTTTTCTGGTCTTTTTTGAGACAGGATCTCCCTGTAGCCCCAGGTGGTCTGGAACTCCCTATGTACACCACGCTGGCCTCAACCTCACAGATATCTGCCTGCCTCTGCCTCCAGAGTGCTGGGATTAAGGGTGTGTGTCAGCACACCCAGGTAAAAAGTGTCAAGACCCAACAGGAAGAAAGCAAAGCAACAGGAGTCTGAAAAGTAGAAGCAATGTGCGATTTGCGGGGCTTGGTTAGCAAAGACCCAGTGGATGCTCTGGCAGAATCAGCACTGTTTTTGTAAAGTGGCTTCTAGGTGGTGGCTCTTCAGTCCTAGCTTGTACACCATATGTATTTCTGGACACCAGTCCCTGCTCCAGGAGAGCATCTGTGAAAAATGAGAACTGCATATTGCAGTTAGCTTTAAGTCAATGGCACACAGTCATTTCTATGGTTGTACCTGAAACAGGAAATGGCCCAAGGTACCAAGCAATTTGGGACTGCTCCTCCTATGGAACATGTTTTCTCCATTCCATGTCCCACCAGTATTGATGAAAGGCAAAGACTCACACTAAGGGCAGATACTCTAGGGTGAGGTATGAAGACCTCTCTCTTCTGAACACCATGACCAAAAAATGTTCTCAGACGGCCACGAGTCTGCAAGAAACAAAAAAACAGGGCAGCTTTTCTTTGTTCTTGTTAAATTTTATTGGCATCACGTTCATCTCTTTACAGAAGAACTCAGCCCACACCCTAGAATGTAGACCTCTTGAGGGGGAAGTGCTCCAGGAAGCAAGCAGGTCCTTGGGAGGGGGCAGAACTGCCAGGGCTCAACCCAAGAGACAGGTGGGTTAGTGCTGGGCCACACTGGGTGGAGTGGGTAAAGGAGAAGGGGTCTGCTAGCCTAAGGGTACCACAACCCTGAAAGGAGCGCCTTCTAGAACAAAGGTAGAGTCACTAGGACAGGTCTGCTGGGGTTGTCCTTTCCTCTTAAGAGTAGGATGCTGTTCTAACAGGAATTGTAAAGTGTTGAATGGAAAGGAAAAAAAAAAAAAAAAAAAAAAACAAAAAAAGAAAAAAAAAAATTTAAATTTTGAAGAAAAAAAAATTTTTCCATAATTTCTGAAGTAATAGCAATTTATCCATTGCATACACTACTGTTATTATTCAGATCAACCTTTTGGAAAATTTAGACACAAAAGGAACTGTCTACTTCAGTTCACCCTCTGGAGAGATGAAAAGCTTTTTGGCTCTTAAGTCTTTGAAAAAGGTGTACATAATTCTCATGTCTACTGTACACAATACTGCCACTAGCTGGATTTCCAAATTCTGAGTCTCTTAACACTCTGTAATCCAGACAGGGTTCAACCCTTCACTTTGCACGCCTGCATTAGAGGACTTAAACACACAATCCAGGAATTCCTTACACTAATTTATACATTTTAATTGGTTGCATATATTAACATGTACTATAAGATTCTTTTCTAAGAAGCATTACATAATAAATGGATACTGTAAAAAGATCTGATTAGTTAAAAGTAACAAGCATTAACAGATACATACAAAACTCAGCCTGTTCGGACTGGGTGGGAGCCTGTAATGGAGCGGGGCACCAGCCTTCCCACAAGACCTTCAAGGAGGGATGGGGGTAAAAGACCACAAGACCGTTAAAAAAATCAGATAGACACAGATAAACCGTGAACAGTTCTCTCACTCCCCAGTGGACAAGAAGAGTAAGGTTCCATTGCCCACTGTACCCCCAGAGCGGGGTCTCCAGCTGCCTGTCCTGCCACACAAAGGGCTCAAGGTGGGCAGCTGCCCTAGGAGCCATGACAGGCATGGGCTGGAGTTTGCTTGTATTGTGGGTGTGGGTATGGGTGTGTGCAGGATGATTTGGTGGAGTTTCTTTTGGCAGCTGGAAATGAGAGATCACATTCTGTTCTGTTTTAAAGGAGGGGACTCGTGTTGAAGGCCTACGTGTGTTCTTGGTCTGTGAAGGACTCTGTGCTCTGCGCTCACTGCCCCTTCAGCAACTGCAGCTCTCTGCGGAGGCCTTGGCCCGGTCATTTTTGTCCAGTTTGATGGGTTCAGGGAATTCATTGTATAGTTCCACCTCTGTTTCCTGGACAGAGAAAGAGAGAAATGTTGATGACTTGGGACACAGAAGCAGTTTGGTATTCAATTTGACCTGGGTATAGGAAAAGTAGAGACAGAGTCTGACTGGACTTCCACACAAAAGGGATGGCTTTGTGAGGAGAGAGTCAGACAGGAGCCACATTTACATTGAGCAGCCAGAATGCAAGCTGATTGATGTCCCTGATGGACCACACCCAGCTCAGATGCTCTATACTTAAATCAGCTGGGCAGTACTCACTGCCTCTTGGGTCCCAGGGTACTCCCCATGTCTAGTTTTTCTAGCTGATATCCATGGGTTAGTTTATTTTCCCAAGGTTTGTTGGGGGCAGAGCGGTGGGTGAAGCCATCAGCTGTGTAGATCAACATGGTAGATGGGCTTCAGTCACTACAAGGGGACCATCTTAGCTTTCAGGATAAACTAGGGACACTTTCTCTTTGTTTAAAGTTCTCTAGGCCTGAGCTGTAGCTTATATAGAATGCAAAAAGCCCCAGGGTCCACCTTTAGCACTGTAGCTCAGAAGGGGAGGAAAGGCTTTCTAGACAGTGCTGTTCTATTCACAACAGCTGTAAAAATATGAAACATTTGGGAATGCACATTGAAAAAAATAATGGTTCCATTAAAGTGCACAATTCAGTGGTCTTCGTATATTTATGAAACTGGGCCACATCACATTAGTTTAGAACACTAATCACTCTCAAAAGAAACCTCTTCCCCCAGCAACCACTACAATCTTCTTAACAGATTCCCCCATTCTAGATCATCCTCCCCAAATGCAGGGGATGGAAGCCAGAGCTTCACAATATGACAAGCAAGCACTCTTCAGTGAGCCACACTTCACCTTAAACAGCACCATTTGTCTATCTGCCTTCCTGCCTACATTTCAAATGTTTTGCTGTTGTGTAAGTGCACTACATGCATCTGATGCCCACACAGGTCAGAAAGGGGGCATTGGATCCCCTGGAACTGGAGTTTCAGACAGTTATCTACCATGTGGGTGCTGGGAACTTAACCAAAGTCTTCTGGAAGAGCAGCAAATGCTCTTCACAGCTGAGCCCAGAGAGGGTTTCACTCTGTAGCTAGCCTGGTCTTGGATTTTTGGGCAATCTTTCTGCCTTACAGGCTAGGATTACAGGTGTGCACCATCATATCCTGCTTTACACAAGTTTCCTTTTAATGGACTTCTAAGACACAGGGTCATATTTTGAAACGGGCTTCCTTCATTTAGTTTCCATGTTACATTTACCTGAGTTCATGCTTCCTGTGGCTGAATGGCATCTGGTGAACAGCCTTTTGTTTAGATTTAAATTATAAACAGCAATAGTTTATAACATAAAAGCAATTACAAAAGAATTATAAAGCCTTATTAAAGCACAAGACCTAAAATAACAGTCTTCGACAGAATGGGTGTCTCTCAAAATTCAGAAGCCCTAGCCCCCAATGTGCTGTGACTATTCAGATTAGACAAGGTTATTCATGGAGTCTGGTCCCATAGAATTTTTGCTTTCAAAACAGGGTCTCATATGTTCCAGGTTGGCCTTTAACTGTATGTTGCTGTTGATGATCCTGAACTCCTAAATCCTCCTGCCTCTATCTCAAAAATACTGGGATTACAGGAATGCACTAAATCATGAAGTTTATGTAGTGCTGGAAAATTAATCCAGGGCCTTGTGCATCTAGGGGAGCACTCTATACCAACTGAATTACACCTCTTCACCCCCAGGACTTATGTTGTTACTGAGCCACTCCAGAGGGCTTGTTCACATTTGCTTTCAAGCAGAGGGCAGCCCTCTGGGGGTGGGGGTGGGGTGTGTTTGCAATAAGACAATGGTCTCATCTCAGCAGTCTCTCCAACTCCAAGCCCACTCACTGTGCCAGCACCTGGGTCCCACACTCAAAGACAAGAAAATAAAATGTCTAATGTATGATCTACCCAAGCCTACATTTTTTTGTTATGGCTAGCCCAACTGGCTAATACAATTCCAACAAAAATCTCAGCGGGACTTTACTCGAGGGTAGGTTGTTGCAGGGAGGTAGAACTTTAATAAAATTATTACACTGACAAGAAAAAAATTACAAGATAGACATAAAAAACAGTTGAGTGGAAATCCGCCTTTGTACTACAGGACCGTCCTCTGAGCCAAACAATGGTCTCTTCAGGAGTTCAGCTGTACCCACTTGCAAAAGATCCTCATAGCTGGGCTTGTTGACTACTGACCTTCTTTGAAGGTCCCTTCTTTGAAGCACCCAGTCACTCTTGCCAACCCCTTGTGGGGAGCTCCATGCAGCTATTGGGAAGCCATCATGCATGCTGGTTGAGAACTTTCCCATGTGGTCTTCAGGGGGAGCACCTACTCTTGTAATCCCCTTACTCATTGTTCTGTAAGGAAGCTCAATAAACTCACTGGTTCCCCAAGGGAACTTTGGTTCCCCTAGTGACCTTTGATTATCATTAGGACCAAGGGTGGATGTTGTTTGTATCTCCCCCAAGGAAGGTATTTTAGCAGCACCTTTTCAGGGGTCAGACCTACCCAAAAGACACTGAAATCAAATATAGGCAAAGGGATCTAGACATGGCCAGGATAGACTGAGCACACTGGAAGTGGATCCTACCATACACAAATGTCACATTTCATTACCCAAAGGGGGATGGCTTCCCAACACTCACTCCCATTGGACACACTGGCTCTGAAAGAGGAAAGGCACATCCCTATTCCTGCCTTAACCCAAGAGATTTTATAGACATCTCAGGATCTGACTAAAAGATGGCCTTTTGCTGTTGTTTTCTGAGACTGGGTCTTATGTGTCCCAGGGTACCCTCAAACATGCTACTATGTAGCCGAGGCTGGCCTTGATCCTTCTGCCTTCACTTCTCTGGTGTTACATGGTATTACAGGAATGTTCTACAACATCTTTTCTTCTTTTCTCTACAGCTCAGGCTGTACTGGAACTTGCCACCTTTCTTTCCTCTTGCCCCAGATTTCTAAGTGCTAAAATTATAGGCAGGCACTACCATACTCAGCTTAGGATGACTTTTTTTTCCCCTATGGCCAAAGGCTATCAAAAGACAACAGAGTTGGGGAGGGGAAAACAAAGTTGAAAAGTAGACGAAGGTGTTTACCAAGAAGAGCTCAGGAGGTCACTTTGGGGACACTCTAAGAACCAGCCCTGGAAGGACCCTGGCTGGTGTAAGGACTTTTGGTACATTCATGTGCCATCCCTCATCTCATCTTTCTAGTGCCTTTTTGTGCTGCATTCTAAAGGTGCCCTGGTCTAAAGAATTCAAAAGGACACCTAATTCTTGTCAGTAAAGATGATGAAACATTAAAAAAAAAAAAAAAATCATGAGATTCTGTGCTTCACAGCAGAGAAGACCACAATAGTCAGCTTAGGGAGAGAATCTCAAAGGGATAATGCCATGAATGTGGCAACTGACAGCGTTAGTCTGGCCCAGCAAATACAGCTGACACCCACAGCCTGCTGGTTGGAGCTGGTGAGGAGTCTCCCTAGGTTAGTCATCCAGCCCCGGTCTAAAACGAACCCTCAATCTAACCAGTGCCCTCAAGAGTCATGACCTTACAGAAAGAGAGGTTACAAAGGTTGGAGAGAAAAATTGGCAGTGGATGCATGGATGCTAAGAGAAATAAAGTTTTGGAAGGGTAGATTGGGGGGGCAGGTGTTAGAACATCAGTTAGAAAGAAGCAAGTATCTTGAGAGCTTTCCTAGTATTTGGAGGAATATTCCTCCCAGGGTAGGCCCGTCCTTGATGAAATACTTTGTGTAGTACCTCTACGCCAAGACTCCTGTCTCTGGAACAATTCATTACAAAATCTCTCACCCACCCAGCCAGATGTCTTGTCCTGGTGAGAACCAGTACATTCTATCAACCTAGGTTCCTAGAAATAGCAGAACCTCTTAATTTGCCAGTTACATACAGTTCCAAATGATGCATAATGTTTGATGGCCTGCTTTATTTTATCATGGACCCCCCCACCCCCAACAGTGCTAGTAGCTCAAAGCCCACACTTTTTTTTTTACATCCCCCAATACTGGGGATTGAACCCCAGAGTCTTGTATATGTTAGGCAAGCACTCAACCAGTGAGTATACTTCCAGCCTTACTAAGGTGCCCAGGCCAACCTTAAAACTTTTCATCTTCCTGTCTCAGCCTCCCCAGTAGCTGGGATTACAAGTCTGTACCTCCATACTGCTTTAGCACAGTGCTGATATCGACTCACAGAAGAGGGTAGCTGGGAGCTCTTGGTTCCTTGATAACACTTTTCCTGCATTTTACTTCTTTGTGTTATGTAAATACTCCCAGGAAAAAGCAATTTCCTGGTTTGTGAGAGTTGATTCTCACATAATCATCATAGTCATCCTTCTAACTTGGTGTTCCATTGTGCAGGCCAGGAGCAGAATAACATGACTAATCTGGTAAGGGGCCACCAAGAGCCCCCTGGTGGCCTGATCTAACAGCACAATACTAGGAATAAGGCCTTTACAAGAGCCCAACTTTGCTGCCCTGTATCTTTTACTGTTTTTGTTTTGTTACTTATAGTGCTGGACCTTGCACCTGCTAGGCAAGTGTTCTACCACCAAGTCACATCCCCAGTCCTGCCTTGTATCTTTTAGATGACTCACAAAGCAGTGGACCTCTCCTAGGAGCTGAAGCAGAACATGTCTCAGCCTCTCCAGATAAGCAAGTAGGTTTTCCTAGCTACAGCTAGGGAAAAAGAGGCAGCTAGGAAAGAAAATCATAACAAAGGCTAGATGGTGTAGCACCAGCCATCACCAGAGGGCACTATACAGCAACAGGGCCCTGGAGACTTACCTGTTTAAGTGCATTCCGAGCAATTGTCTGGAAGGCCTGTTCCACATTGATGGCCTCCTTAGCACTGGTCTCAAAGTAGGGAATGTTGTTTTTGCTGTAGCACCAGGCCTGTGCCCTCTTTGTGGCCACCTGTAGGAGGAAGGAGGGCATATGAACACTAATGACATGGGCAGTGGGCGATGACTCAGTCCTCCCAAGACAGGTGCACAGGTGAGAAGAGACCTGGGAATGAGGAGGGTGGCCCACACACTTGCAGGTAGTGTGAGGCAGAGCTGACACCCAAACTCAAACCATCTCTATGTCTGTAACCAGACCTTGTGACCCATAGTCATGTGACAAGAGCAAAGAGCCAGTTAGGAGGGAAAAGAGTGGAGAGTGGCCTCTCCTAGGACCCCACAGCTGGTCTTAGGTATGCATCCCCTTCCCACACTTATCTCCTGCCACCTGTGTAAAAATGGCAAGTGGCACAGGATTCTGCAGCCCTTGGATCCTCCTTCCTTTCCCTGCCCCAGCTCATTTGTAGCTAAGAAACATAGACCAAGTCTAAGGAGAAGAAAAAGAGATGGACATCAGAAAAAACTGAGCTATAAACAACAATATGTTTCCAGGAGAAACACTGTGTGGAAATGCACCAGAAAAACTTTATTCAAGGACACAGCTCTCTTCTGCCCCTGAGAATGAAAAGAATAAATAAATAAATTCCTTTGAGGTGCAAAAAGGGAACTGAGTCTCAAAGCAAGGATGATAGCCCCACATCACAGCTGGCTGGAGGCAGCTGGGCAACTGGACCAGGTCAGCAGGGCCTAGGTGACAAGCACTCCCACCAGCACCTTCCCAAACTATTCTGGGCCTGGCAAAGAACCCTCCAAACCTCCAAGGCACTAGCAGAGCAGGAGTCTGTGCTGGTAACTGCCATTTTGAGTACTTACCTGTCTGTTTTCAAGGTCAATCTTGTTTCCCAACACAACAAAGGGGAAGTTTTCAGGATCCCGGGGACTGGCCTGGATAAGAAACTCATCTCTCCAGCTGTCAAGGGTTTTGAATGTGTTGGGGGCAGTCACATCAAACACCAGAACACAGCAGTCTGCACCTCTGTAGAAGGCTACACCAAGAGACTGGAACCGTTCTTGACCAGCTGTGTCCCAGATCTGTAAGAGAAAAAAAAAAAACCAAACTTGCTCCTTGGTGGATACTGGGCAGTGTTCCAGAGGAAGAAAGTGTGTGTGGATATGTACATACATAGGACGGGGTGATGGAGGGTCTGCTCTTTGGGATGCTAAAACACGTTTATATCTCCTCCCAGGCATGTACATAAAATCTGAGCTACAGTCTCAAGACTTACAGAGTCTTGGAATTTCAAAGGGCTTTTACTTACTGAGGTTATTTCAGTGCTGCATGTAGCCTAGGCTGGCCTTGAACTAGCAATCTTCCTGCCTCGGCTTCCTGAGTATTAAAATTAAAGACACTACCTCAAGCTTTTCTAGGGATAGTGGAAATAAATGAAAATTATTACTGACTAACCAAAAAGATGTGGTTTTTGTTTGTTTGCTCCCCCCACCCACTTTGGTCTTTCTGAGACAGGTTTTCCCTGTGGCCCCCAGCTGTCCTTGAACTCGCTACATAGACCAGGCTGGCCTTGAACTCACAGAGATCTGCCTGCCTCTGCCTCCCAAGCACCGTAATAAAAGCATGTGCCTTTTTGTTTGCTTTTTTATAACTCTAACAAAAAACCCTGACAAGTGGAGCTAGAAAGATGAGAACAAGGTAAAGGCTCACAGCAGGTTCCACTGATCACAGGTACTGTCCTATGGGCCACCCTGGGTTCAGGTGCAAGCAAGGCTGGGCAGACTGGTGCAATATTACAGGTTTGTAATCCCAGAACTTGAAGGGAAAAGGAAGGGTAAGCCTGTGCTACGAGGCCCACCCCCAATCTCAAAAACCAACCAAAATCAAAACAAAACAGAACAAGCAACACTGGTTCTCCTCATTGTCTGAGATTTGGGAAGAACCACTGGGACTGAGTCAGGGACACAGAACAAAAGCAGGAAGGGTACAAGAGCAGCCTAAGTCCACCTGCCCTCAGCAGAGTAGGGCCAAAGGAGCCCTTGTGGTATCCTTCCTGTTCCTGTTCCCAGTGTTCTACCTGAATATGCCTGTGTGAGGGGCAGAGGTGGAGGAAAGTCAAGAACTAGGAAAGGAGAAGCAGGGCAACTTCTATAAAGTAAAAGCAGAAAAGAAAGTTTTAGAAAACAGAACTGAGACCTAGGCTTGGACAAATCCATCTCCTTGTCTCTCATATTACTTAAGTCCTCACACCCGAAACAGCGTGCAGCTTAACTGTTGCCAAACACTCAAGAATACTCACTCCTGTTTAAAAAAAAAAAAAACAAAAAACACTGTGGCAAATTTTCTACGGTTACAAGTAACTGAGCAATGAACAATAATATATGAAGCTCTTTCTGCATCTCAAATGGCTTTTTTCCAGACAGAATTCCAAGAGCATTATTTCCTGAGAACTCTCTCTCAGGTGGGACCAAATGGCTACATGGAATTCAGATACCCAGACTAGGCAAACACAAAGAAAAAGCAAAAACTGAAAAACTGGTTATTTCCGAAATTAATTTGACATCAAGCTTATAAAACTACAAACTGGAGCTGGAGAGATAGCTCAGTGGTTCAGAGCATTAGCTGTTCTTGCAGAAGACCTGGGTTCGATTCCAGCACCCACATGGCAGTAAATAACTGTCTATAACTCCAATTTTAGGGGAATCCAATAACCTAACTGCGGGCACTGCACAATACAGGTGCACTTACATACACATGCAGGCAATAAACTCAGACACATAAAATAAAAATAGAATAGGGCTGGAGAGATGGCTCAGCAGTTAAGAGCACTGGCTGCTCTTGCAGAGGACCTGGGTTTGATTCCCAGCACCCACATGGTGGATAACCGTCTGTAACTCTAGTTCCAGGGGGATCCGACACCTTCTTCTGACCTCTGTGGGCACTGCACTACATGGGTGCACTTATACACATGCAGGTAATACACTCACACACATAAAAGTAATAAATATTTAAAAAATAAAAAACTACAATCTGTATTTGCCAATTAACAAAAAAGTACAACTCTGTCAAACTGTCCTTTTAAATTAAAAAAAAAAAAAAATTTCCCCATGATGGCTAATCCTGGGTGTCAATTTGACTGGATCTGGGATTAACTGAAATTCGAGAGCTCTTCTAAATTGGATCATCTGAAGCTGGAACACACACCCTAAATGTGGGTGTTACCTTCTGATGGCAGCTGGTATAAAAGGCCAAGGCAGAGGAGACTGCCTGGCTTCTTGCTGCTTGCCTTCTCTCTCACTGGTGAGTTCGTCTTGCTGCTGTAGACTGAAGAGTAGCTGATCTTTTGGAATTCGTCAGACCTTCAGTGCCAGATTGGGACTACTGAGACATCCAGCCTCGTGGACTAAGCAACTACGGATTCTTACCCTCTCCAGTGTGGTGCAGCCATTGTTGGACTTCTCAGACTCTATCCTGTAAGCTAAGCTGATAAATCTCTATACATATATATTCATTCTACCGGTTCTGTTTCTTTGGAGAACCCTGACTAATATACCCCCATCAGAGGGTGGTGCTAGACATGGAATCCAGGGCCCTACAAATGCTGAGCAAGCTCTTCTACTGATCTACATAAATCCCAGCCGAAATACTTTCTTTTCTATATCTGTAATTATACCCAAGTTATTTATCCATTCACTATTCTGATGTGGTAACTTAGGGATGGAACACAGATCCTCAGGCATGCTAGGTACACATTCAACAATGTCAACACTGCCATTATACTTCCTGTGACAGTTCTCCTTCTTCCCAAGAAGTCAAATCGCTCCTGAAGCTACTCTTTCAATTTGGCTTTCCCATTTCCAAAGTTACCAACTAAAAGTATTCTACTGTCTTATTATACTATACTGCATTTCCTTGATCATCTGAGTTACTTACAGCTTTCCACTGTCACAGATAGGAGGCAATGCACACTCTTAAAGACTTCTCTCCTTGTTCCCAAAGGTGATCTCCAAGCCACAACCCAGACACAGAACTACCAGGCTGGATAAGTGCATAGCTATACTGCATAACCAACACAATGCCTTCCCATCAACTTATTACTCTCTTCCCATACCTACTTAACTATAGGCTGTCTATCACCATGTGTTCTTGGCTCAGTGATTTGCTTTTGTCATCTGGCAACATATTGTTCGGGTTTTGAATTTAATGTGGTCTAACTAACAAGCCTCAACCTTTTATGATTTGTGCTTGCTCTATTCTAAATGTCAAAGGTCAAGAATAGCCTCCATTTTCCATTTGAAAGTTTTCACTTTGTGCTTTTTCCACCTCAGGTGCTGAAGCCTCTGGCTACTCCCCTGTATGGAACCCCTGCCCCAACACAAATAGGAACCCTAGGGACAGAGTTCCTAGCCAGGCCCGGTGCCTATGTCCTGTCCCTATACCATCTTGAAAATGTTCATGCACACTTGACTGTACCTTATGGTTAATACTGACTTCTAGCATCTTCCTCAATAGTATCAGAAATTTAAAACAGCAAAACAAAATTATCACTAATATTCCACCAGGCATTATAAGGCAGAGCACCAATCTCGGTGTCCTTAGTCAGATCTCATCACTGTGAGGTCCACACCTGAGGATTAACCAACAAGTTATGTATTTGGTATGTATGCAAAGGGATTTTTCCCCTTTGTCCTTATTTATTCCTAAACAACACACAAACAACACAGTCCAATAAGTGCTTATACAGGATTAGGTATTTTAAGTAATTTGGAGATTATTTAAATAGCATATGGGAGGATGTCCTTACATTCTCTGAAGACATGACAACTGTATTTCTGATCCTCTTGCCTCTAGCCGCAGAATGATGGGATTACAGGCATAAAGCACTAAGCTGTTTTATGTGGTGCTGGCAACCCAAAGCTTCATATATGCTTTAAGCACTCTATCAACTGAGCTACATACACAGCCTTGGAAATGACTTTTTACATAAGGGCATGAACAACTGGGGACTGGTATCTGGGGGAAGAAGTATTGTAATGGTTTGAGTAAGTGTCCCCACAGGCTCCAAGTATTTGAATACTTGTCCCCAGATGGTGGTGCTGTTTGCAGGAATTAGTAGGTGCAGCCTTGCTGAAGGAAGGACACTGGGAATGGGCTTTGAGAACATATAACTTGCCCACTTCTAGTATCTCTCTCTCTGCCTGCTTGAAGATGTGAACACTCAGCTTTCTGCTCAGGCCTTCTGCTGCCAGCCTCCACTTTGATGGACTCTTACACTCTGAACAGTAAGCCAAATAAATGCTTCCTTCTGTAAACTGCCTTAGTCATTGTGTTTTATCATAGCAACAGAAAAGTAACTAATTCAAGTATCTTGGACCAGTCCTGAGGAGACAGTGTTCTAATTTGATTTCTATTGTGGTGATAAAACACTGACCAAAACCAACTTGGGAAGAAAGGGTTTAGTTCACCACACACTTTACAGTCCATGGAGGAAGGGCCACAGTCCAATCCTATGGAAGAAATTCCTCCATTGAGGTTCCTCTTCCCAGCTGACTCTAGTTTGTGTCAAGTTAACAAAAACTGGCTGGTATAGCTGCTAAGGTAAGTTACATATGCTTTCGGATGGAGCTCAGGGCCTCGTGCATGGCAGCAAGCATTCTACCACACTGAGTTACACTTCTAGCTCTATGCTCTTAATATTAGAATTATAATTCTAAAACCACGATTGTACACCATGCCAACCACTCTTTTTGGACAACACCATACTGCTGTTGTTTCTGCTGGTACTGTGGGGTCAGCTAGCAGCCTCGTGGACGTTCCTTCCAAGTTCAGTATTGTCCTTGGCGCGCTTAGGTTCTTGGCGGGGAGGGGAGTGCCATTCTGTCATTCATGTACATGTTTTATTTAGCCATCCTGGAAGTTGGTTTTTCTAATTTGTGGTTTGGTATAATGTCAGTTCTAGAGATTCTTGGCCAAGTTAATCTTTAGTCTTTTTACATGTCCTGAAATTAAAAGTGGATTTGTGCTGAAGTATAGTTCAATGGTAGAGCATGTATAAAGCCCTGGCACCCAAACAAAAACAGTG